CCATCCCATCCCATCCCATCCAATCCATCCGTCCCATCCCATCCATCCATCTCATCTATCCATCCATCTCATCTATCCATCCATCCATCCATCCATCCATCCATCCATCCATCCATCAATGACAGATTTTATAATGCTGACCAATATATGCTAGTTCTAACTGTGTGAAATGGGGATATCATCGGTACCCACTTAACCAAGTTACCGTGAGATATAAATAGTCATATATAGGCAAAGTACCCAGGCTGGGTCAATTGCATAATAAAAGCTCAATAAGTGGTAAATATTGTTATTATTAGAATCTGAATACTCTAGCTCCAAACCTTTCCCAGCCACACATTAAACATGGACCTCAACTTTATTATCCAGAATGCATGAAAAAAGAATGAGTGAAGGAATCTGGAGAAGTAGGTAGTGTCAGGCGGGAGCAATGAACAGAGACTGGGAGGTTGAGGCAGGTCCATGGGGGCAGCAGAGAGCCACTCCAGAGACTCTCTAGAATGTTTTTGGGAATCAGTCTCCAGTTGATCTTACTGTATCATAACAAGCATCAAGAAGAGCAGGCAGGAAGCAAGAACACAGGTGGGACACAGGAACGTGCTGTTGGCTTGCCCTCCTCTGCTGGGACAGCTGGTTGACCCAGGCCCAGACTACATCAGGGTACTTGTGATCGGATGGTCATACTGATCCGGCCTTGCAACCAGGTGATGTAATCCTCACGAGGCATGTGAATGATGTGTTCTCGCACGAACTGTGAGTTAAACACAGTGGAAGTCTCAGAATTTAGTTTAAGAGATAGCTTCTGTCCTCGTCACCCACTTTCCTTCAAGATCCTAGAAGATTTGTGTCTGAGACTCAGGGGCCCCTGATGATTCAGCATCAGCTGTTGTCAGGCTGAGCTGGTCTGGGAGAAGGGACCAGTTTCTTGGGCATTTTAAGCCTCTCTTTATTGCTATCTGAGAAGGGTAGGACAATTCAGCTGAATACATTCCTTTTCTTTTCTACTCCCTAATCTCTTTTTAAAAAGCCATTTGTTCATAGAGCTCTTCGAGAATTGATGACAGCTCTGAGCTTGCTTTCCAAGAAAGAGTTTAAGACATGTAAAACATATTGTTTCCTATAGATTTTAGATTCAGAGACCCCCATGTCCACCTTATCAGGATTTCTATAATGTTCCCCTTGGAGAGGAGAGTGCTAAGTTTTATTCATTACTCAGGGCTGAGAATGTACCTCAAAGAATGAGGAAGCTTCCGTGTCCTCTTCCTCTTACCCGCCCCCCAAGGACCACCTCCTTTCTGCACCCTTGGAAGTGGCAAGTAGAAGTCAAAATCCACAACTGGTCAGTGCAAGATGGGAGGTACCCTTGAGTTGGTGTTGGCTGAGCCCACCAGAGTCTCTCTTCAAAGAGGGTGACAGGATATGGAACATCTATTCTGGACCTCTCAATTTGTCACAGGGTCATCCTGTCCCCATTTGTTACTTTGTTCTGACACACACAATCCAAAGTCACCCTGTGGAAGGGCCAATCTGGTATGCAATGGCCAAGATCCCCAAAGTCAGTCCAGTGGGAGAAATTCACCATTTGAGTCACTTCTTTCTTTGTAGACTTTGAAGACCTGATTAAAGGTACATGGGGCATCTGATAAAGTTAATCAAGTGCAGGAGCACCTGTTAATCCATGCTGTAGAGCCCTTACTGCTGATGGCTTTGATGCCCTAAGGGAGTCAAGCTCCAGAAACTTCCAGTAGTGATGGCAATGACTCCTGAAAGCCATTCAATGGCTCCTCAGCACCCTGGGGACAGAGACCTACATCTTTACCCTGGTTTTCATAGACCTGCACAGAATGACCCCTCTAGTGCTCTTGGCACCAGGCACCCCCTTGCTAGCTCCCTGCCACACTCATTGACTGCCTTATGAGTTCCCTCAGCAAGTGAAATCCTGTCCTACTTTAGGGCTTTTGCTCTGCTTCCTGACCTGTTCTCTCCTCTTCTCTATATGATTAACTTCTCATCATTCTGGTCTGGGTTTGAAAAACAATCACCTTCTAGTGGGAAATGGTTGTGTATGTGGGGGACTGATGCAGGAGGACCAGAATTTCAAGTCCTATCTGGGCAATTTGACAACTTAGAGACACCCTGTCTTTAAATAAAGAATCAAAGAGCCTGGAGGTTAGCTCAGTGCAAAGGTCCTGGGTTCAATCCCCAGAACTGCAAAAACAAAACAAAAAATTAAAATAACAAACAACAAAAAGCACTTCCTCTGTTGCCCTAGCAACTTGGTCTCTTGTTAATTTACTTCATACCAGAGCATTTCAAATTTTATTGTTCATGCAACACACCTAGGATCCCATCAAAATGCCAATCCTGAACTGGCAGATACAGTCTGGAGCCTGAGATTGTGCCTTTCTCACATCACTTGAGTGAGGTCCCTGCTGCTGGCCCAAGGACTGTACTTTCAGAACCAGATTTGGAGAGCTCCTGATGTTTATCTATTTCTTTATGTTTTTCCAAAGCTTCTCAGGTTCAAAGGGCACCATTTACATAGAATCTAACATTCTGTGGAGTTGGAGGTGAACTACCAAGGTCATGTGTCATTCTTCTATTAAATTTGAGCATCATGGGATGTGGGGTCTCTATATCTTTTGTGTGTGATGCTCCCATTTTTCTAAACAATGCCTGGATGTAAGGAAGTGATTGAACAAGAGCACTCGAGGCATTGTGAGAGGGAGGGGCTGACGGTTACCTCAACAGCCACAGCGATATCTGGCGAGCACAGTTCCCAGACCCTCAGATCCTGCAGCACCTTCAGGAGAACATGGGGCCGGACCCTCAGGTCAAGGTTCTCCCCAAACTTCTGGAGTTTGACCAGGATCTTTTTGGCAGGGCGGTAGTTCTTCAGATCCTCAGGGAGTTTGGACAACAGATCAAAATACCTTCGATGGAAGTGCAGAGGGCCAGTTAGAGAGGTACTAGGAGGGGAAGTTGGGCCCCCCAGATCCTCCTTCTCTATCTTCTCTTTTCTACTAGCTGTGGGATAGTCCAGGGCAGCCTGATCCTCTGTCTGGGGCCTTACCTCCATTGTAACTTGCTAACAGTCCCACAGATCAGGCAAGTCTTTATTGTTTAGGGGTTGGAAAAGCTAAAGCAAGACAAATGAACCAAGTGAATGCTTTCAAGGGATGAATTTACAGGTTTTAGATCAATGGGAAAAGGTAGAGAAAAGGAGAGAAAAATCTCTCTCTCTCTCTCTCTCTCTGTCTGTCTGTCTGTCTGTCTGTCTCATTTATGTATTTGGTACAGGATCTTGTTATGCAGCTTGGACTCACAGTAATCCTCTTGTTTTCAGCTCCCCAGTGCTGGGATTACGGGCAAGCACCACCATGCCTAGACTTCATAGCCTTCATGGCACCCCCTGGGGGCAGGGCCAGCATGACATGCAGGATCAGGGCTTGAACCCTTGAAGCTTCTCTTCTGAGGGTTCCTCCAGCCAGGTTAGTCATGGAAATGCTCAGGGAGGCCTTCCAGGGTGCCAGTGAGGGTCACATACTTCCAAGATGCAAGTGAGGGGGGGGGAAGGGGTGTATGTGTGTGTGCGTGTGTGCGTGTGTATGTTCCATCTCTCTGATAATGAATAAGTTTGGTCCATGGCTTGTGTATTTCAGTGCTGAGAAACATGAGTATTATGGTATATATACACATTTTTTTTCTATATTTAGGACAAGGTCTACAGAGTCTAGAGGGTCTCACTATGGAGATCAGACTCCTAGTGATTCTCCTGTTTTCAGCCGCCCAAGTGCTGGGATTACAGGTGCGTACCACCATGCTCAGTCTCAATCACCATCTCAGTGTGCCCTTCGGGTGGGGCCGGCACTGCACGCCGGGGATCAAACCCTGGCCACTATGCTCTTCCTAAGCAGGTGCTCTAGTCTGCTGAGCTATCAGGCCAGCCCTTATGGTGTATATATTCATGTCTCTTAGAATAGAATGGAATCCCCATGAGGACAGGAATTTAGCCTGAGTTGTTCAGCATCAAGTGCCAGAACTGTGCCTAATTTGTAGTAGATGCTCAGTGGTTATAATTTGAAAGGATGAATGAGGAGCTACAGCTCAGCATCATTGCTGCTAGGCTGTGGCTCATTTGATTTAATTTTAATGTTACTATGGAGGGCAATTGCACCCCCCATAATGATGCCAGAAATTCCAGCACAAGAAATGTGGGCTGACTCCAACTGTGGGTGGATCGGCATTAATTTCCCACTGTGACACCTCTGTGTGAACTACTTTATAACTCTCACCCTCCCTTCTTTACTTCCCTCAACAAGAAGAGAAAGCATGTAGGAAGCCTGAGGCAGGAGGGTTGCAGGTTTGAGCCCAGCCCTGGCAATTTGGTGACTTAGTAAGGCCCTGGCTTATAATTAAGAAAGGGCTGGGGATGTGGCTTATTGTAATAATGGCCTGAGTTAGATCCCCTGCATGGTGAAAAGGAAGAGGAGAGAGGATTTGAGAAAGGCTCACTGCTCTCTGGGGTGTCCCTCCTGGGAGCCTCACATAAGCCAGCTTGTGAGAAAGTGCTGCCCTAGGAGTGTAAAGTCAGTGAAGGCCCTACAACTGCACTAATCCCCAGGGAGCTGGCTGTTGCTAGCGTCAGGGGAGGGAATCTGGGTGCACCTTTGCATTTTCTTCTCTTGTCCTTGGATGCTTTGGTCACCCTGCTGGCATGAGGTCTGTGATGTTGCAGCTCACCAGACTCCAGCTCTCTATTGCCAGTGAGCACAGTGACTAGGGCAGGACAGGGCCTGATCATCCTGAGCTCCCCACTTCCTAGTGGGGTGACCTTGGACACGTGAATTGACTTCCCCATGTTTCAGTTTCCTTATCTGTGAATTGTGGTTAACATGGGCCTTCTAGGGTTGAAGGGGAGGAATAAAATGGCTCATTCAATTTATTTAGGGTAGCTGGGCATGGTGGTGCACACCTGTAATCCTAGTGCTCAGGAGGTTGAGGCAGGAGGATCACTATGAGTTTGAAGCCAGCCTGGGCTACAAAGTGAGTTCAGAGCCAATCTGAACTATATCACAAGACCCTGTCTCAAAAACCAAACCAAACCAAAAATAAATTTATTTAGGGTAGTAGGGGTCAGCCAAATAGCTCAGCAGACTGAAGCACCTGCAAGCAGGCACAGGGGCCAGGGGATTCAATCCCCAGGCCTGCCTTACCAGCCCTGCCCCAAGGGCACACTGAGACAGTAATTGAGACTGGGTGAGGTGGCACATGCCTGTAATTCCGGCTCTTGGGAGGCTGAAAACAGGAGGATCACTAGGCATCTGATCTATGTAGTGTAACCCTGTAGACCCTGTAAACCCTGTCCTAAATTCATTAAAAAACAAACAAACAAAAACAAATGTATTTAGGGTAGTAGTGCCTACCATCCAGTAGTCTCTCAATTTATGATTTTTTTTGGGGGGGGGTTGGTGTGAATTTTCTTTTCTTTTTCTGTGTAGTGTTCAGGATCAAACTGAAGGCTTTGCACTTACTCAACAAGCTCTCTATCACTGAGCTTCACCTCTACCCCAGTGTATATTTTATTTCTTAAAGGTTTTATTTTACTTTTAATTGATAGGACATAACTGTGCATATTTAAGGGGTGAAGTGTGGCACTTCAGTGCACACACATGACATGTGCCTATCCAACCAGGATTTTTTTTTTTTTTTTTGTATTTTAGGGAAGGGTCTACAGGGTGTTCAGGGTCTCACTACTAGATTGGACTCCGCCTGTTTACAACCTCCCAAAAGCAGGGATTACAGGTGTGTACCACCATGCCCAGTCTCAATTGCCATCTCAGTGTGCCCCAGGGGCAGGGCCAGCATGGCAGGCCTGGGGATCAAACCCCCCCTCCCCCGCCCCTGTGCCGGCTTGCAGGCACTTTAATCTGCTGAGCTGTTTGGCTGGCCCAGAAACCAGGATATTTAGCATATCCATCAAACATTTCTTTGTAGTGAACAGTCAGAATCTTCTCATTACTTTGAAATATCCAGCATAGGAGTGTTAACTATGGTCACTCTGCTGCACAGGGTGACACCAAAAAGGATACTGTTTTTTCCTGTGACTCAGTGGTGTCCCAAATTTTTTGATCAAGGAGATTATGGGGCTACAGAGGAAAGTGATCAACAAAGCAGAATGTGCTTAAGGAGAGTCACATGGAGAGAAAACATTCTCAGGCTTTCTCAGAGAGCAAATTGGTCAAGCAATGGCCAGGATTCAACCACATGGCTGACAATAACAAAAGATCTACAAACTGCTGTACAGGGTTTCAGGGTAAGCTTGGGGGGATTTGACTGACCTTGTCAAATACAAAAGTTACATTTTTTGCTTTATGTTGGTCTTAACCATCCAGCAGAAAAGTATAAAATCGAGGTATAAAAAGTAAAGGCAGGGCTGGGGAGATGGCTCAGTAGAATAAGCACTTGCCTGGCAAGCACAAGGGTGGGAGTTCAATCCCCGATTCCCCCCCCCCCAAAAAAAAAGAAAACAAAAGTAAAGCCATATTAATATGCTGAGCTGTAAAAGGCTTAAGTCAACAACTTCTGATTCTGCCCATCTTGTGGATAACCCACTACTATTATACCCACTACTATCATAGACTACTGGACTATATTGTATTACTTACGCACCTATAATATATGAAGGGCAATAGAATATACATCTCTGACATAAGTAAACAAAAAAGGGGATATAAATGGTCAATTTTGTAATGGGAAAAATATATATCTGTATATACAAAACAGCATAAATATATAGTTACTTTCTCTTAGTTCAATGAGAAGAAAGTTTTGAACTAGTAATGTTCAGCTGAGATATCATGTCTACGTTTTTGTACTAGGAACAACTACAAAGACAATAATAGGCAATGTATTAATTATTGTAACTGTACTACTAACTTGTTTTGAAACTATCTCATTGCTACTTCTTTCTCCATAAAATTATTAAAATATGTAACACAAAAAAAGGACACTCTTTTTTATTTGTCTTCACCCTTCGGTGTTTCTTGGGTATGTCTGCTTGGGGGTGTATTCTTGAGGAATTAAATTGCTAGGGAAATGTAGAGACCACCTTCTAGAACTTAGAACCTGCAGGAAGTTGCAGGTTGGGGTGCTCTGTCTGCTTTTCCCCTGGGGCCAGCAAGTTAGTTCTCCTTATTCATATATCAGAATTAAGCATAAGGAAAATATGGAGAACATAACAAGTTAGGGTATCTGTGGCTCATAAATGGATGAATTCTTGTCTGAATGTGCTCTGGATTTAGACTGTTTGGTGCCCCCTCTTGAGGGCCGTGGATAGTTGGAGGGTGATGCTTTTCTACGCCTCAAAGGACAATGCAATAAACTGTGACCTAGTAATAGTAACTCCCCACACACTCTCAGGGACCACCCTTACTGGTTCTCAGGACCTTTACCAGTGGTCAGCGATTTCTTCTGCGTCTCCTTTCATGACAGAAATTTGTTGTCTCATCTTTGCTATGTCCTTTTGGAAATCTGAGACAAGGCCAAAAGAGCGGAACTTCTGGAGACTTCTCTCTTCTTGGCGCCTACAAAGTTGGGCGAGAAAGAGGAAGAGGAATCAGATTCCCTCCTTTCACCCTCCTGGCTGCCACTGGAGATGTGACTTACACACCTTTCGCTTAGTGAGGTCCTTCTTAACCCTCCCAGCTACTCTTCAACTTATGATCTTGCTTTCACTGAGCGGGGATGTAACTCTATGGATCTGAAACATTTTTCCTGTTAAATGAGCCTATTTTTATCTGTTCCCCTTCCCTTCCTACTTCTGATTGTGTAGACACAGTTTTCTCACCTGTAAAATGGGAGATAATAGTTCTTACATCTCAGAGGTAAAGACTGGTTATGTTATGGGTGCAGAATACGGAGCTTACTGCCGGGGCAGAGTAGGCAATTAACTCATGTTGGTTCTCTTCTTCCTCACCCCCTTATCATTTTGTGCATACATTCTCCTGGTAGAGAGGAGAATTTACAGGACAAATATAACCATGCCATCTCCCCTTCACACTGTTTAGAGGTTTTCCATTTTGTTCATAATACATAACTTTGAATGATGTGTCCTCCAAGGCATCAGGGCACTCAGTTCCTCCCACATTTTTCAATTCTGTCACTGTGCCTACAATTTTATGCCTTAGCTCACGACCAGTGTCTCTGAGATAAAGCTCAACCTCCACTACTGGGCTACTTAGTAAAGCTTTCTCTGACCTGGCCCCAGTCTCACTCTCTGGACACCTTGTACGCTGCCTCCTACAAGTTCCCTGCCTCACTGTGCCCTTTCTGTTCTCGGGGACTTTGCTGTGCCTTTTTCTTGGAACTCCTCACTGTAAATTATCTAGTGTGACTCTCTGGGTTTGAATTCTACTTTTACTGCCTAGCCCATTGGGGCATCTTTGATTAGATCTCTGAACCCACTTTTATCCTCTACAAAATGGGTCTAGTGCTAGCACCTACTCCCTCATCTGTGAGGAGCCCAGGATACATAAACACAAAGCCTTCACTCTATCAGCAAGTGGTACCTGATTCCGCGGAGTACGTGGACTAATACAGTGTTCCCGAAATACCTTCAAGTTTTCATTGATCTGAAAATGTGCTTTCTTCCAGGAAGACTTCTCACGGCTGTCTCAGCTCGGGAAGGGTGTCCCTTTGCTGTGTGCACTCAGTGCTGTGTGTGTTACCCTGCTGGCCCTCTACCCTTGTGTAGAGACTGCCTGTTTGATTCCCTCCCACCCCTGACAGGAAGCTCCCAGAAGGAAGGATAGGACTGTGTCCTCTGCTGCTCTTGTCTCCAGGAAGCCGGTTGATCACCAGTGTAAGTACTAGAGTACAAAGCGTTGCCTTTCAGCCCTCACGGAGTCATCTAGGGCAGGGGCACACTGCAGTCAAGGCTCGGTCAGGGAAGAGGGGCAGCTACTGGAACTTCCAAAAATAAAAAGGGCCCAGTGGCTTGGTGGTGCTCCTGAAACCATGCCCCAATTGTCACATGAATGGCTGTGCATGATGCAACCTTGCCTGCTAGTTCTCACTCCTTCCCTGTGTCCCTGTCAGCCTCAATACTTCACAATGCACTTTTCTGGCCATCTAGAATGTCACCTCACTTTCTCATCACACCAAAAGTGCCTTCTCATCCTTTTTAAAATTTTTTTAAAGGAGGAAAGGTTTATTGTAGCTCATGGTTTGTGGAGGTTTCAGTCCATAGTCAGCTGGTTCCAAGGCAGGGAGCCACAACAGAGGGGCGTTGCAGAGAAGCAGTGAGCAAGCAAGTAGCAAGCACCCAGCAATGACCCCCTTTCTGTCCCTTACATTCCTTCAGGCAGGCAGCATTCACACCCAGAGTGAGCCATCCTTAATCCTACCCAGAACTATGCTGGACAAATCCATGTGCTAATTTAGAAACCACATTCTCTTTTTTTTTTT